GGGGCAGCGGCGGCCGCGCCGGGCATGGAGCTGGCAAGCCCGCGCTGAGGCAGGACGCGCGTGCAAGCAGCGAGCGAGAGGCTCTCCGCCGTCCGGCGCGCGGGCTCCCCGGCCGGGGCCAGGCAAACTTTTCTTTCTCTTTTGCCCTCTCCAGAGGTAAAGTCCCGAACGCGGACTCTCCAGCGGGGATGCGATCTGGGGCAGCCGAGAGGCACCCCTGGCTGCGGGAGGAAGGGGCGCGGGCCGTGCGGGGTTGGGGGCTTCCGCGCTCTCTTGCGCCCGAGACTTGGGGTGCTAGGCGGGGTGGCTGCAGACGGGCAGACGGGCGCGGGCATGCCCCTCGGGCGGCGTGGAGGCGGCAGTGGCGGGGAAGCCGAGCTCGCTGCTCGGCCGGGAAGAAGCGCGGGCGGTGCGGGTTTGGGGGCCCCGGGATTCGCCTGCTCCCGGGACTTTGGGGCGCGAGGCGGGCAGTCGGCCGCGAGGTTGGTGCCGGGGAAGCCGGGCGTTCGCCCGCACGGCGGCTCGCCGCCGCGCCGGAGGGTGGAGGGCGCGGGGCGGGCTGGCTGAGCGCAGCTCCCCTCTCTCCGCAGGCGCCTTCTGCGGCGGGCGGACCGACTCCTCGGCGCGGCGGGGCCGGGGCAGGCTGGACGCAGCATGATGCGCGCAGTGTGGGAGGCGCTGGCGGCGCTGGCGGCGGTGGCGTGCCTGGTGGGCGCGGTGCGCGGCGGGCCCGGGCTCAGCATGTTCGCGGGCCAGGCGGCGCAGCCCGACCCCTGCTCGGACGAGAACGGCCACCCGCGCCGCTGCATCCCGGACTTTGTCAACGCGGCCTTCGGCAAGGACGTGCGCGTGTCCAGCACCTGCGGCCGGCCGCCGGCGCGCTACTGCGTGGTGAGCGAGCGCGGCGAGGAGCGGCTGCGCTCTTGCCACCTCTGCAACGCGTCCGACCCCAAGAAGGCGCACCCGCCCGCCTTCCTCACCGATCTCAACAACCCGCACAACCTGACGTGCTGGCAGTCCGAGAACTACCTGCAGTTCCCGCACAACGTCACGCTCACGCTGTCGCTCGGCAAGAAGTTCGAGGTGACCTACGTGAGCCTGCAGTTCTGCTCGCCACGGCCCGAGTCCATGGCCATCTACAAGTCCATGGACTACGGGCGCACGTGGGTGCCTTTCCAGTTCTACTCCACGCAGTGCCGCAAGATGTACAACCGGCCGCACCGCGCGCCCATCACCAAGCAGAACGAGCAGGAGGCCGTGTGCACCGACTCGCACACCGACATGCGCCCGCTCTCGGGCGGCCTCATCGCCTTCAGCACGCTGGACGGGCGGCCCTCGGCGCACGACTTCGACAACTCGCCGGTGCTGCAGGACTGGGTCACGGCCACCGACATCCGCGTGGCCTTCAGCCGCCTGCACACGTTCGGCGACGAGAACGAGGACGACTCGGAGCTGGCGCGCGACTCGTACTTCTACGCCGTGTCCGACCTGCAGGTGGGTGGCCGCTGCAAGTGCAACGGCCACGCGGCCCGCTGCGTGCGCGACCGTGACGACAGCCTGGTGTGCGACTGCAGGCACAACACCGCCGGCCCGGAGTGCGACCGCTGCAAGCCCTTCCACTACGACCGGCCCTGGCAGCGCGCCACCGCCCGCGAGGCCAACGAGTGCGTGGGTGAGTGGGGCGCGGCCTGGGCGCGGGCGGCGGGCGGGGACGCGGGCGGCTGCTCCCGGGCCTCCCAGCCGCGGGTTCGCGGTCGGGAGCGCCGGCGGCAGCCGCACCCGAGGATCGCCCGCTCCGTGGGTGTTGCGGCAATTGTGGGAGGTGCGTTGCGGGATGTCCTGGACCCGGGAGGGCAGAGAGCGGTTCCACTTGCTCGCGTGGCGCTGGCCGTGGACGCTCGGGTTCTCGCCCAGTGCGCTCTGCGAAGCCGGGAAGAAGCGCCAGGAATGCTTCGGGGACAGAGTTTTGCACAAAATTTGCCAACTGGTCCCCCTAAGCCAGGATCCGAATGCAAACACTGATTGCCTTCCCCTCAGTTTGGCGAGACCCTAGGATCCACCTCCGCCCCGCCACCCCTTGCCTAGGGCTGCAGCTGGGCGCTCTGTTGGGGACCCAGGCCCGGTTCCCGAGAAGTTACAGCTCCACAACCACAAATCCCATGGGAGATGGCAGCAGGATTTGCAGTTTGGGGCCAGTTCGGTACCTGATGAATATCAGTCCTGCGCCCTCCATTTGTCTTTTATGGTTTGAAAAAAATTTTTTTTTTCTTTTGGACAGCGTGTTTGTGTTAGCGGGAGAATGGTGTGATTTAAATTAATTACTATCTATAGATGACAAAGGAGAGTTCAGTAATTATTTTAAACTAATTCAATCTTGGTCCAAAAAAGAAGTATACCCTATGTTTTTGTGAGCATCAGGATTTGGTGAAATGAAACAGTTTTGAATTATTGAAGGGCCCAGATTCTCGATTTTTACTGGGGTTTCAGTTCCTGAAAGAGAAATCTGACCAAACCGGCACTGATGAATACTGTTGGGTCAGAAATGAGACTTAAAAAAGGGAGACATTCTATTTCTGAGTTGTAGGGCTTTGCTTCTGTAGAAACTCTCAGGCATCAGTTTCTCCCCAGGAAAAAAAAAAGAGGGGGAAGGTAGTAAGACAATACCTTACTTTTCCAGTATGAGATGTAAATTTCCAAATCCCACATTTTATTTTAATGAACATTATTTAATTCATAAATATGCCATTTGGTGTGCATCTTTTGTGAACATACGTACTTTTCCTCCCCCGCCCCTCAACCCCAAACAGCCAGTATGAGTGTCTTCAGTCGCTTCACCCTCTGAGGCCCGTTGCAAAGTCTGCTGGTCCCCACAAACACACGTTTTGAGGTCTGGTTCTGATTAATTGTGTCACGTTGTTGTTGAGTAGTTTGTGCCTCATGACTGAGGATGCAGACTTTTGAGCAAGGGAATGGAAAACATGTCTTGGAGAGCCGGGTCGACACTGAGGCCCAGTCAGGCGTCCTGGTCTGCAGAGGGCTGTGCCTCCTGTTGCGTGGCGAGGCCTCCATTTTTGCACTCCATGTGTTCCGCTTTTGCAGACCTAATTGTTCTTCCTCCTCCTTTAAGGGACAGAACCGAATGCCAGTTTGAAGAGTCTTTTCGGGATTCCACAGTGAGATAGTAGTTACACCCCGACTTAGTGCTCTTTGAGAATAAAATTCCTTTGATCTGTTCAATTCCTTCAGAAATGTTGGTTTTTCCCATCTCTTCTTCTTCCCCCTCTCGTCTTTTCTTTTCTTCCTTTTGTTCGTAAAAACCCTTTATTGACATTTAAAGGGCCTCCCACAGTTTTGCTATCAGTTTTAGTTTGTATGTGCATATGAAAGATAACTTCACATTGTCACCAGCAGGGTCTAATTGGACAAACACAAGTGAATACGTTGAGGAGGATAAACTGGATGTTGTGGTAACACTTTACTGGCTTGAAAATTTGTCTTAGCATTGGTATTGTTCAAATTCATCACTCACCCCCATCTCTCCGGGTCACTGTGGATGTGGAGACGTAACTTGCATTTGTTATAACAGTGGTCATGCACTTGAAATAATCTCTGTAGTTTAGGATTTTGTCTTTTGACCAAAGCACTAGCCATGTGCACAAATTGGATTGACTGCTTTTTTTTTTTAGCCAAATTGAGCAATCAACATATTAACTAATGTAATTAGTAAGCCTTTTTGTTCAGAAGTTTAATTAGGCCTAATAAGTACATAATCTACATGACAAATAATCGGCTAACAATATTTTCGGTTTTCACTGAGGTTATTTTAATTCTCGGTAGTTAAAATATCTTTAAATCTTGCCAGTTATTCACTCATCTCATAAAAGCGAAGCCAATTCAACTATGTTAAAGTTATTTATAGTTTCCTTTTTGAATAGTTGTTCTGATACCTTGTAGATATAGCTGGGAACATCAGGTTGAAGTTCCCATAAAGTCTTAATTGAAGTCTTAGCGATTTTTCCATCATTCTGCAAAACAGAAAGCCAGCAAAGACAATTTAAAAGTGATTTACAATTAAAGGTTGAGCTTTTTATGAAAAGGCCCTGTAGCGGAGATATGTGAATGAATTAGTATTTGACAGGTGTTCTGAGACACTACAGGGCACTGTGCTAGGAAAAAGCATTAATAAATCCTTCAAACACTAACTTTTGTACTATCAGTGGCTCAGATTTTTTTCCCCAACATAATCCCATCTTGTGAATTTCACACTGTTGACATGTAAAGTCAAGCTACCCAGATTATTTACAACTAAGGCAAAGTAAAGAAGTATATATGTTTTTATTCCAAAAAGCAGTCTTGGTAAAAATGGAGCATTGTCACTGTGCTGTTCTCTTCTGTTTTTGCCTTTATAAAATAATGAGACATGATTTATAATAGACTAAAATGGCGTCCTTCCCCAGGTTAACCTCCCCTCAAAAAAACCCTAAAACTTTAAAAAGCGTTGATGTTGTTGTTTGACTAAATGGTTCTTCTACATAGGGTCGAGGTACTTTTAGATTACTAAGAAATGCATGTATCCTGTAGGTTTTCTTTGGTCAAGCTTTCTTTTCGGTGTTGTTTCCAGGTTGAGTTCTCTACGGAATAACTGTGAACTTTGTAGAGCCCAATTTTATTTTAAATCAATTTTGGATTTCTTCCGGGGGAAAAACACCCTCAAAACAATATGAAAGACAAGACTATGTATAACGTTACAGCCTCGACAGCTCTCGGTGGAATAACTAAATACTTTCTTCCGCCCATATGTATCAGCAGTGTTCACATGCTTTTATACACATATGCATTGACATTCATCGTGTAAGGAAGCATCCATGCATGGTGGGAGTGTGTGTACATTCAAGGGAAAATGCATGAACAGTTTTAAACCACCTGGGTTGCTAGGCCCTTTTCTCCCCCCTTCCTTTTTTCAAAAGAGCATCTGAAGACCATATTGTGTTTCATAAATTATTGACATCAGTTTTAATCAGTGTCCCCCTGACGTTGGAGCTGTGTTAGTATTTAGTGCCTGACGAAGCATGCTGTTTAATCTTACTGTGGGGATGTCAGCATGAACCCCTGCCTGGTTTGTGACAGGGCGAGCTTATAAAAACTCGTTTTGCGACTCATTCTATGGCTTTGCATTGCCCAGCTGAAACCCGAAACCCACACAAAAGACGTCTCTGCAAGATGAGCACCGTGCTGGGCTGGCCTCCTATGGTCATGGGTACCTGCCACATAATGCTTGTAATGGTTTAAACATGGCTTTGGGAGGGGGTTCTTCATGCTGTAAATGGTTCTGGTGCTCAGGCCTACCATCATCCCCAGCAAGAGAGGGAGGTCATGTTGGTGGTGTTGCCGTGAGAAATCCAATGCCCCGCTAAAGACTCTTGCAAAATCATAAGGCTAAAATTATTTGTTGCCTAGTCCAGAGTCTGGCACAGAGCTGTAGATCAGTGAATGTTTTTATAGTCATAGTAATTATTATAATTATTGTTATTATGATGATTAGCCCTCGGGGGCTTATTTTTTGCCAAGCACTCACATTAATTTAGTCATTTGATCATCGTGACTACGCTAATAATAGGCACTACTATTATCCTTATTTTACAGATGAGGAAGCCGTAACCCAGAGACATTAGATAGTTTACACAAAGCCATGTAGCTAGTAGATGGTGGAGCTGGGACTCCAGCCTGAGGTTTATGCTTTGTTTTATGGCATCCTCTGAGCTGCCTCCCCACAGAATGGATGGATGGATGAACGAATAAATGAATGGCAGTTACTCGTCCATGTATAGGAGAAAGGTTGGAACAGCTTATTTCCTGCTGAAAGTGGAAGTGGTTCTCTAGTTGTGTTATGTTGTATTATGCTATATTATTTATTATATTCATGCATATGAATATATGTATAAATATGAAATTGTATATAAGAAGTTGTCCTTTATTTTAGCCATCAGGCGTAGTGGGAGCTGGGAGTTAGGAATGTAAGTGAAGAGCATTTAAATACTTTCTTGTGGGTTCTCAGCATCTGCAAGTGTCGCTGATGGCCAAGTCTTTCTTGATTTCAGGGCCCGTGATCTCTCTCAAAGGTGGTGGAACAGAGCTCGTAGTCAGCAAATCCTTAATAGTGCCTTCTCCTTTTGCCCTAGTGCTCAATATCCCATTGCTTCTCTGGAGCATATTGAAAAAAATCTAGGAAGTGGCTAAGAAGTGTTGTTATTAAAGAGAGGAGTTTAATGGCATGTCCTGGTTGTTGGCATGGTGCTGGTAGGTGCCGTTCGTGTGTGTCAGCTGCACAGGGCTGTCATTTATCTCTGTTGGCCCCATGGCAGCTGGAGTGAGGGTCTCTGCTGGGGTCCTCATTAGCCCCTGGTGCAGGGAGGCTGCCCCCCTGCTCTGCCCAGAGAAGGGACACGGAGCTATGTCAGGGTAAACCTTCTGGGGTGGGTCTGCGCATTTCCAGGCTCTGCCCAGCTCTCCTTTGGCCCTGTCCAAACTTCTCTCTGACCTCCTCCTCCTGTAGAAAGATGAGATCCTCGGAAAAGTATTTGAGACTTTATGTCCAGAGTAAATATTGGAAAGGCAGTGGGTTGAAATTCAGATGTTCCCTGGAAGGAATCCCCTCATTTTCTGCTCACAGCT